CAGACACATGAAATAAAGCACCAAGGATACTTTTGCTGGCTTTCATTCATGCCACTATTTTTTTAAACTTATTTATTATATTTTTTTTGTGCATCAGGTGTTTAAGTAAACAAAGACCTACTGCACGAATGTTTTCAGAAGAAAAGCTGTATTAGGCATTGTAAATCTCCCTTTTCTTACCATCCATGCAGTCATCTTATCTGAGTCATTGCAAAACTTATTTTTTCAATACGTTCTCTTAATCTGTGCGTATGTTTGCTTTTTTGTTTTTAAAAAAAGAAGAAAAAGATATTGCTGTAATTTGCATAGCAATTCATCTCAGATATTATTGGTTTCTCACTGATCTTTTACCTGCTTTGAGGCACCTGATCTGTTACCATTCTGGCAAACAGTAGGCCAACATATTTTTCTCATTTGTCATTTTGTATAGAATTCTGTACTGTGAGGAAAATATCCTTATATCTGTGAATTCACAGAAGTATTTCTACAATTTATTATCTCTTGCTCTGCTCAAATATCTCAAATTCAACATGCACAATGTTAAATATTTGCTAAAGTGCTCCTCTCCAAAATTCCCCCAAAAAAGGATTGGCTTAAGACGTTGAAAAAGCAGTTTGCTTTGTGTGTGTATATGTTTTGCATTCACAGTGAACACTCTTTTGACTGTAAAATATGCAGCAGCCTTTAGCATTTCATTGTATTTTACTTTCCTTAAGTGGAAAATACTGTGTAGATATTGACTTCTGATGGACTAACTCTACACTTCCTTATTTAGTATTTTTTCCCTCTTTTCCTCTCTTCTAGAATATTTTAAATCCTTCTCAGTTTATTTCAATTTGTGAAAGAAAAATGAATATAAGCAGTGAAGAGAGACAATCTGGCTTATAAATTAGGCTGAGCTGATGCTGACTGAATATTTTAACCAATTCTGGCTGAGATATTTCGTTTGTTCTGATTACTTCTCTTTAGTGTCAGTTGTCTTACTCCAAGCTGCTCTTACATTTACAAGTGTTAAGACACTAGTCATTTGGAATGTGAGGACCTGCATAGGCGCTGCATGATATTTGTGCTTTTAATTTTGACAAAAATGAGTTCAAAGCAAAAATGTTTGCTGAAAATGTAAATTTCTTAAGTTCTGTGTCTTCTGTGTAATTATACTTTGGTGAAAACCAATAATGTTTGTAATCTTGGTGAATTTCTGTCTACCATAGACGCCAGGAGTCTTTCTACCTTTTCAGCTGAACTACTTTGTACAAATACTTTGTTATTCTTTCTCACAATACGCATTTATTACGTGCTGCTTTCACAGTGTTCAAGGAGATTAACTTACTTTTCCTTTCGGATTTGAGTGTAGTAGTTGCACATTCAATATTTGTTTCTTTCCCAGGTAGAAGCAGTAAGAATTATATAAATCAGATACTTCATAAAACCTAATATTACTCAAGAAAATTGTAAAAGTTTTCCCAAGTTGAGACATCTTTCTTCATACCCTCTTACAAAAGTTGTGTCAACTCTATTTAATTAGCATTGACGTGGTACCAACTGACTATTGTACAGGCTGTTCAGGGACCTTTGTGTTGCAATGCAATGTTCCTTCTCGTTGTGGGATGACTAGATCACTCTGCAGTACTGGACTCCATCATAATATGTTAAAGTTTAACCCATCCATGTTCTGGGAATAATGGGTATTGCCAGGTGCTTCTTCTGTGTAGTGGTAGAAACGTTACTTTTTGGGAAGTTTATAGCTTGAATAACTTGATGGAATAAATTGTGACCATTTTAGACTTCCTGGATAAACGTTTTGTAGACAATAGTTAGCAACATATATAGCTGTCACAAACTTCATGTTGTGTGTGGAGTGAGAAGAGAAGGGAAAGGAAAACAGAAAAGATAGGAGAATCCAAATGTCTTTACGCTGAAGATTTTTCAGGTTCTTAGTAAGGGGAAGAAATCATCTGAAAATTACAAGACAATTTATTACTGAGCCAAATATCCTAAAAAGTACCGAGCTCTCAAACAGATGGATATTATTGTGTTTTTCTTTTCTCTAAACAGCTGATGAATTCCTTCCAATTAAGTGTACATTTCAGAGTGGGAACATTCCTGTGGCCTAACGAAAGCCAGCCAAACTGGAGGTGATTCATATTGAGATTCTCCTTTGTGGGGATCCTCAATTAATCAAAATATTTATGGAGAAGAAAATGGAGGTATCGAGCATCTCAAAAGACGGAACAGTTCTATTCAAATTCTTTTTATATGATCTGCTGTTTTTATTGATCTAATTCTGCATGTGTAATGTGCATAAAATGATACTGTTGGTGATAAAAAGATACTGCTACATGAAAAGAATGTAAACATAATTTTCTTCCCCTCTTTCTATTGTGTAATAAGCCTTCACGTTGTTTTTAGTTTGGAAAATTGAAGTAGATTAGTCAGTTACTAATTATTTATTAAACAGAATATTTGGCAGCCTAAGTTATTTTGGGAGGTTGCATCTCTGTGCTGTTTCCCAGTTATATGTCATACTAATTGCAGGCTATTACCCTTCAGTTCAAGAGCTCTTTGCTGTCCCTCTTCTTTCAAACCCAGCCTGCATCTGGGCCTACCTCTCTCTCCTGCCGTTGATTAGTCCAGAAAAGTGATGGGGAAAAAAAATGGGAAAAGGAAAAACTGAGTTGTCATAGTTGTAAACTGTTTTTGCGTACACAGATGCAAAGAATAAAAGGAATCATTTAGTGGGATCCACTGAGGAAGAAGTCAATGGAACAAGATGAAATCTGTAAAATAAAACTCACATTTGTATATGTGAAAATGTTCCTTAAGAGGCTGTCACTTGTAAGAGTGGAATTTATCGAGATGGACAGATGCAGGGGAAGTTCCAATATGGTGGATTTTTATAAAACAAACTTGACTAAACCCTGTTTATAAGGACCAGCCTCTGCTGAGATATGCTGGATGAACTAATCCAGCAAGTCTTTCTTGGCTTTTTGAATGATGTAAAGTGACTGAATGCTAAAGATAAAATAGAATAAAAATATAGCTTTGAAATCCTAATGTTCTAATGCTAATTATATCAGGTGATGATACCCTGCAACAAGAATTTGATCTGTTCTTAAGGTAAATTTAAAAAAAAAAGCAGTCTAAAAGTTAATTCAAATTTTTGTATTAGTTTGCTTACCTTCTCACTCATTACAAAATGACATTTTGATTATAACCTTTATTATATTCTATGACATTTTTCACAAGAAATGGGAGTTCAGTGATCTCAGATATCTATCACAGAATAACACATTCTGGAAGTTTCTGATGGAAAAAGTTAAATAAGTTTACAAAGGGTGGTATTATTAAAAAGGTTGTTTAAACTTTCTTTATGCTGTACTTTCCTTGCTTTTTTTTCAGTGAGAATATTCAACACACATATTGAAAGAACTCCTTTTTCAATTTTCTTTTTCAGTTCACCTTTGAGATTACTCTGAAGAAGGTATGACCTCTTACAGGTAAATACATACAGATAGCTGTGGGAAAAATGCAGTAGTTCTGATTGGTTGCACAGCATGCCTCAGAAATTAAAGGTATTTTGAGGAAGGTCGGAAGGACTTTGGTAACATTGCCTCTTGCTCAGGAGCAGCACTAGATTCAATAAAGGCCTTTAGATAATGACGGATAAGGTAGAGATTATCAGCGAAACTACTTCGTATGATTAATATATGTCTGTAGAAAAGTAGTGTAATAATTTATTCTGAATTATAATGATGACTAAATGCATTGCCTAATTTGAACCTCATTGATATGTCTGGCAGGGAGCTGTACAGTAGAAACAAACTTTATGCAGTTTGTGGTGTTTTCTGATTTCTGTTTGCTGCCATCAGCAATCATGTGCTAGAGGTGTGTGTGCGTTTAGCTGGGGAAAAGAGCAGTCTTCTATCGTTAGGCAACAGAATTGGGCAAGAGGAGGAATCTTGTCCTGTGATGGAGAAGTAAGAGGTATGTTTGGTAATACACCCAGAGCTCAGAAATTTTTATCTAACACCAAAGCAAAATAACTATCCCTCCTCTTTGTAGGGATAGCAAGGTTATTCATATCTGTTATAATTATTTTGGATAGAAATTTTCTAAGCACAAATCAGTTCCAGATGGTGGGAAGAGAGGGAAGCTTTCCATGGTGATAGGATATCTTGTTACTGTCTCCTGAATTCTTCTGATGGATGTGATAGTGACCACTATCAGAGAAAGGAGATGGAAACTTGACGGTTCCTGTGTACTCTGTTATGTTCACTGTGTTTACATAAAGCAGAAGGAAATACTTTCACTCTGCATTGCTTTTAGTTTAATGGAGAAAACAGATCCAAAAAGGCTAAATGAAAAGTCTCTGTGTGCCAGAAGAATACTTCACAAAGCATGCAAGACAAGGTCTGTGCCTTTCAGACACATAACTCTTTTTTTTTCCCCCCTCCCCGGTAGGCGGAAGGAACAGAAAAGACCATTCCGTCCCACATCTTGGCCTTACATATCACTTGGAATTCCTATTTATCTGTTTAAAAAAAACAAACATCAAACCAGCTCCTGAACATCCCCACTTATGTCATGTACCTGACTATATCCCCCTCTGGGGTTCAGCTTCTGCCCTGATTTACAATGTCTGATGTCAATGGCTTGCTTAATTTGTTGAATTTGATTCCAGCAGTGTAAATTGATTCTCCTGTGTCTCAACTCATTTTGTATATGGAAGTGTTTTAGGAAAAACAAAGTAATTTATTATTATTATTTTAATTTATTTTATTTGTTGTTGTTGTTTTTATACAAGAGTAATTATTATACAAACCGTTCCCAAAAAACCTAGCAAACAAAAGGAAGCCAAGATCATGAAAGATAAGGAAAGTCGTTATGAACATAGTTCAGGGCTATTGTAACTTGTGGCCACAAATGCAGGAAGTCATTTTCCTCCTGGACTCTTTCTTAATAAAAGAAGAAAATAAAAGTCTGCTGATTGCAGGTGTGGTGTGTGCTACATATGGGAGATAATTGAAAGGACATATCAGTGTCTGGGCAATAGGATGGAGGTAGGCACAGCAAGAGCTGCTGAGAGGATGAATGATTTTTGTTTGCATGTGTATGAATTCATAACCTCTAATTGTTAATGATTTTTTAAAAATTATTTTTAAGGGCAGTACCACTAATACACTAGCATCTAAGGCAGAATTATGTAACTTCTTAACAATACTTCCGTTCTTAACAGTTAGCTCCTGTCGTTGAGTGTGTCTTATGCTTTTAGCAGTATGTTTGTTCTCAGACTTGCTTAAAAAAGCTCTTAACTTCTGTTTCCATTATGTCAACTACAAGAAGTACGTGCAGAAGCTTTAGGTGCTGTAATAATTAATTGGAAGACTATCTAGAGTCATTAAAAACCCCATACAAACACCATGTATGTGAAACCAATCAGCTCAGCTGAGATAAATGGAAACAGTTTAATCTCCAGAACTTTGCCTGCTACTTTAATACAGAGCAAATAATTCATGTTTACCCTTGCATGGGCTATTTTCTGTGATTAATAGGTAACTTTTCAACTTTTATTTACAGTTCAACCAATAATACTCTCACTGCTTTCTGAGAAGACTTTATTCATGTTTATGTTTGTGTATTTTACACATTCTCTTTAATCTCTCTATAGCTAAATTCTTCATAAAGATTTTTTTAGTAATATAGCTTAGCTAAGTACCCTGCTGTCAGGTTTTTTGTCCCAACCACATATTTTTCACATTCTGTTTCACAAATTATTCTTGCAAAGTCAAACTGATATTATATGTTCTGCAAAAGTAGAGTTTATTGTTTATCTAGCCCTCTCAGTTTCCAGTTACGCTGTTGCTGCAGCTCACTCATTTTTCCTGACCATTTTACAAATTAAATTAATTCCTCACCCATTCTTATTGGTACAAAACACTGAAGGCAAAGAAATTAGTTTCATTTTAGATTCATACAAACGGCTACCAGAAAGAAAAGAAATAAAGTTTGAGTGAAATAAACAAAGTTTGTTGCACATTGCGGGAACTCTTCCTTTAAAGTGCCACCTGCAAATCAAAGTTCTTAGGATGTGAAATTACAACACTTAAAGTCGTCTGGGTGATAGCTGGGGATGAGGAGGAATTGGTGGTAAGTGTGATATCTTGTAAATTATTTCATTTCTTACTGTTTTTTAGAGAAAGTGTTCATTATATGCTTTCTTCCACTGATTAAAGGTTTACTAGATGCAAAGCACAGCACTGAACAGGTCAAGCGGTTGAACAGCTCCCCAGAGGTCTGTTTCAGTACCCCCGAGCCACCAAGCAACCGTATGGATTTTGCCATACAAAATACTACCTCCATGGAAGTAAATAGCAAAGTTCCACAGCCGACTTTGAAGCTAGGGTTTCATCTTTAATATCTGCCTGGTTCAGGTCCCCATCAGTGGGTTATAGTCATGCTTTATTGCACAGTCAAGCATAGAAAACAAAGAACATGCTTCATTACTATGAGGCTACCAAGCATATTAATACATAAGGTAGCAGTATGGAATGTGATTACAAGACTGGGATTTCCAGAATTTATTTAATTTTACTTAAACTTCTGTCTGGATCTCCAGCTGGGTTACGGACAGTATAAAGAAAAGTAATGAAGTAATCAGCATTCCAGAAATCTTACGGTGAACTCTGGAGGAAAGCATGCAAGCAAATTGGGTAAGTAATGCATATTTCATTTCATTAGCTTTAGAAATTATGTCAATCAGACCATGAACAGAAGCTGACAGTTGACATTTTTGTCTCAAGGGAAACAAAATGTTTAAGCTGAAGCTTTTCACTTATAAAAATGAAGTTAGAAAATATGTTGAAAGGAAAAGTTTTAAAACTTGCCTTTATAACATATCCATAGTTTATAAATATTATTCTAAACAAACAACTGACAAAATTTGTGCATGTTTTCCAAACGTTTTAGTGACAACATACTGGCATTTTATGCCTATCAAGTTCTGTGTGAAAAGTGTCATTCAATGTTAAAAGGAGGTAAGGAAGTTTGCAACACAGTCTTATGTCAAGATTGGATATGGCTAGATATAACAATGTGAGTTTAAAGTTAAAATATTCATGGTCTTTTGGAAGCTGTAATGAGTTCACTAAAAAGTAGCCCAAAATGCTAGCTTTTGGGAAATTTGCCGCAGGACTGTAAACTCATCACTACAAGTTTCATCACAGTTCCCAGAAAAGGCTGCTTTTCCTAAGAAACTCTCTTGCTTTAACCCATACTCAGCAAAAATTGTATATCGGAGAGAGAGGTTCCTGCTGAGTGTTTTGGAAAGGCTTTTGTTTCTTCCTTGATATTAGTCACATAAATGTTTAGGGGCTGTGTCAAAACAAGAGCCGAGTAGAGCTCAAAGACAGAAAACAAAGTGTAGTTTGAGCTTCTGTTGTATCTTTTTGTTATTTGTGATTTCAGGTTTGTTTATTAGACCCTTATTCACTCTATTCTCCAGTTTGATTTATAAATCGCTTTGCCAATCCTAGCCAGAAGCCGCTGGGTACCATTTACTTTCAGCGATTCCTCCTCTTCAGTTTGGCCTGTTTGAGAAAGAAGCATGAGATTAAGGTCAGTGATTTGGTAGAATGAAGGATGGAGTAAGAGGCTCCATCCTACTGCTGGATAAGAAAGGAACTTGGGTGTGATCTAGCAAAGAACAGGAGGAGGAGGAATGAGGTTAGGATTATCTGGATTAAAAAGTCCCTGTAAATACCGCTTGAGTTTCACATTCTTGTTCTGTCTTTTCCTGGGAAGCTTGTAGAGTTTGTTGGGAAGGAAAACAAACAAAAAAGGCAGTCTGCCTATCAGCTGCTACTTCACTTTGCATTTTGTCAGAGTTTTTTTTTCTGGTTCCTAACCACCCCGTAATGTGAGGCCTGCAAACCTTCTTGCAGCAGAAAGTCACATTTTACTTATAACGAATGATGTAATTTTACTGTTTTCTTTTTTTTTAAATTTGGTTTTACTTAGATTAAGGTTGCTGAGTTGACATTGTGCGATGTCTACTGAGAATAATTTTCACATGGAAATGTCACAGAAAGGAATATCAGAAGATAACTTGCTTACAAGATTTTTCTCCGTGTCTTTGAGATATTTGTTTGCTTGATATACCTTTCACAGCCTCTTAAAGTACTGGCTGTTACAAAGTTCTAGTGAAAAAGAGGGCACTTGTATTTATTCAAAAATGTTTTCATAAAATATCAGAACTCACAAATTGTCTATAAACCAAAGGTACATGAAATCCCATGGTTCTAATCATATAAACACAGAAGAGTGAAATAAAATTGTTTATAACAAGCAAAAACATCAGATAGCTGAAAGGCAGAGAAAAACCTGAAACCAAAAGAGAGCCAAAATTAAAAATGTACAATTTACTTCCTGAAAAATTGCAGCAGCTCTACATTGGCAAATACCTTGTGTGGTTTAGAAATTTAATATTATTAAGAGTTAATCCAGTAGGCTTTCCTCCCCAGGCCAAGTGTAAGAAAGAAAAGCAGAACAGGCAAGCCTGAGCACATGCTTGTAAACATCTCCCTGCATGGTCAGGATGTGGGCATGCAAGTCATACTCTTGCCTCCACAAACCCATACCAGTGCTGATGGCAGCGCTTCCCAGTATGAACTGGTTCAGCCTTCTCAAACTTGAGTCATGTCACTTGTCTATGAGACGTACAAAGGACTCTGCAGAACTTCTTGGATTACTTGCAGCACTTTATCGGCAGCTGCCTTATTTACAGGAACTGCTCATTGAGAAAGCTGTAATGTTACCAGCTGGGATGAATGGCTGGTAGTGAAGGGGAGCATGCCTAGAAAATCACCGTTTATATCACCACAAATTGTGGTATAAAATCACTTCTATGACACAGTTCACATGCTTGTTACTATGCTTTGCCAAACGTGGCAGCAGAAACACTGCAATTCAGCCTTTTTTTCAGAGCATCATGTGCAGTAATGCTATGTGACCTCCAAAAACCTGCTTGGTTACTTTAAAAGTTTCCAAGGGAGTAAGAAAGATGCGTGCACTTCGTTATGTAGATGCCTTTAAATAATAATATAAAAAAAGATCTTTTTTTCCTCTCCTAATCGATGCCTTTGTTTCTAAAGGTATTGCATGTTGAAGCCCAATTTTTTTGTAATGTAGTATCATAAATGTATGATGCTTACTGTACATGAAAAAAAGAGAAATCATGTTTAAATATCAGTTACCACTTAAAAATCAAATTATTTTCCCTGCACAACAGAACAGTCACAGCATTTAGTTATGCAGGGTCACTGAGAGTTTCTCCTAAATAGGTTGTGAGATATCTGAGAATAGATCATACAAGCTCAGGTCAGTAATGCTGGAAATACTTTCCATGAAGGAATAGAATATATTATCTTTGAGATAAAATGTTTTACCCTGAGCTTCCTACCTGCCAAGAAACATAACAAAAGTGCTTCTAATATTCCTAGTCTCAAATAGACTGCCAGCAAAATTCAGGATTGTGTTTTATCATTGACAAGTTTAGTTAAAACTTTCATATGAATCTTCTAATTCATCTTTTCTGATAAAATGAAACTTTCATTTTTCCCTTAATGACTAAAAAAATACTAAAAGCCTTTTGAAAATGACACTAGCACAGCCAGCAGTGTCTTATGAGAAATGAGAGACTACAGGGAAATTAGAGGTGTGAGAAGATTTTACTGATTAAGAATTAGATCCTTTTATGCAAGGAAGTCTTTCTTACTAAAGTAATCCCATTTAACTTGCCATACGTAGCAATTTTCCTTCCTTCCCTAGGACATCTGAACATGCACATAGAAGCAGGACCTCTGCTATTTCAGGCAGTGGCTAAAGTAACGTTTAATGGTTGGTTTCAGGTTTGTGCCTTCTTTCTGTTACTCTACCGTTGGCACCGTTTTTATCAATCACTTGGTATGAGATAAAATCCTGCAATCCATTCTTCTGTGTATAATTTCTAAGCCTCTGGATCTGGCATGGGAAGTGGAACTTCACAGCTACATTCACCGATTGCAGGAGAAACCCAGAACTCTGGATTTAGAAAGAGATTCTGCTCATCTCTTTCTTCTGACCCAAAGCCTAGAACTATTTTTCTTTTCATAAGCAAATTCCTATCTATCCACGATACCCTGCTTGCCACCCTCTGCCAGGAGCAGCTTGTCAACAGATTGGAGTTTAGGCCAGTTGTGGGATGCTATAGTGGTCTGCATTAATAGCACCAGAAGCACCATAGTAAGGTGCAAGTACAGGGTGTTAAAAGAGTAAGTAACATGCAAGAATAGTGCAGGCTTCTCTATCCCAGAGGAAATCCTTCTAACAAGGCTTTTCTACAGCTTGGGTGGATTCTCTGTCCCCTTCCCCTCTGTATGCTTCATTGGAGCTGATTCATGTTCTTCTCCCACAAAAGTTTTGAACTTTGACATGTTTTCTTTCAGGCTCTAACTGATCTCAAGCTCGCGGGTGGCAAATACTTCTCTATATAGTCATGTGACAGATACGTTTCTCCAGAATTAAGTAACTGAAACTAAGCCAATACCAGTCTGATTCTAAATATGGGGGCAAGCCTTCAGATTCTGTGTCCAGTCAGGTGACTGCAAAACAGTTTTTATTCCCTTAAGGACTCTCTCTACTTCCCCTTCTAGTCCTTGACCATCAGAAACCCCATGTCAAAGTGGAAGAACCCAAAGTTCTTGGTGTGGAAAGGTCAAATATGAAAAATAATAGTTTTGTTTCAGCTTGGCACTATCAGAACCCAAAATTAAAAATATTTTACTAGACAAGGAGGAACTGTTTGCCCCACTCCTCAGCTATCCAATTTAATTATCTGACTCTAACCCACATCATTTAGAAGAGGAAACTCAGAAAAATCTGTTTCCTCCAGATCATGTGGATGTAACGGTATACAAGGTAATTAATTTTCTGGATTTTGACCTGACTGGGATCCTCAAAGGCAAAATGAGACAAGAAACAAACAAAACATTTCCTTTCCTTTCCAGAGAAAGATAAGTAGGGACATCTAAACAAGCTCCAAAAAACTTTAAAATCTCATATGAAATTGGCTTGTGTTATACCACCTAAAAATGATACCAGAGTCATCAAACTGATAAGAGTTAGTTGTTCCACTAAACAAACCTCTGTTTTAGGAGAAAAAATAGCAGTTGGTGGCTAGAAACTTTAATCCAGAGCGGAAGCACTGCCTATAAAACTAAAAGCTGAAGGTTTGAAAAACCTAAACATTCGCTAAACAGTAGAGGAAGCAAAGCAAACTCTGAAGGTCTTTCCAATCCTTTATCAAAAAGTTTATCAGTTTTCATTGTCCTCAAGCCATTTAGTTAGGAAACAACTCCCATAGATATGAAATCTACAGGAAAAGTGCAACAGTTCTCTGAATGTGGAGACACCAACTACTTCAGTATTACATCTGACTTTAGCTTACAAAACAAAGCAGTGTGCTTGTTACTCCCCTATCCTCTGTTCTCGCCTTAATTTGATAAAGTAGATGGTTAGGGAATTATAGGTTTTATCATAATGTGAATTAGGGAAAAATTTAAATAGATGAGCTATTAGAGAAGGTGGCTGAGTTTGAAATGAACAGCCCACAACCTATCCTCCTGTGTGTGTATTTTGCTGACAGAGAGAGGGAATGTGTATTCTCTTCTCCAGG